TTTTTTTTTTTTTTTTTTTTGAGAGAGAGAGTGAAACATTGATGCGAGAGTGGAGCACTGACTGACTGTCTCCCAGCAAGCCCCCTGCTCCCACCAGGGATCGAGCCCTCGACCCAGGTCTGTGCCCTGACCGGGAACCATCGGCAACCTTTCAGTGCCCTGGAAGACACCCGACCAGCTGAGCCACACCCGCCAGGGCTAGTGCTTGCTTTTCACAACTTCCTAGACCCAGCCTGGCTTGGTTTTCCTTCTACCTCAGTGATTAAACTAGAGTTAGAACTCAGTTGTTATTCTGTTCTCACTCTACAAGTTCCCTTGGGCCAGTTCAGCCACCCCTCTAACTTCAATTACTGTTTACTATTAATGGATTCCACTTATATGTGCCACAGCCATGTCATTCAGTCCAAAGCTGAATTTCTCTTTTCTCCCCCTCAACGAGCCTCCTCCACACCTTTCTAAGTTCCCTGTTTTAGTAATGGTACTACCATCTATCGATCCATTTCCAAGACAGAGACCTGGACATCCTCCTCAACTCTCTCCCCTCCCCACACATCCATTCAGTATCAACTCCTATTGATTCTACTCCCTGAATATCTTTTAAATCTCTCCAGTTCTCTCTATTTTCTAGTTCAGTACACCAAAATACAGTAATAGATTGCCACTAGAATGGTTTCTCTTTTCCAAACCTTTCAACTCACTATAATTTGAGTGGTTTCTCTAAAATGCATATTTTATTTCATCTCTCACCTGATTAAAACACATCAGTTGCTCTTGTTGCCTTCGAAATACGGTTGAACTCTTTAACGATTCCCAAGGCTCTGCATTCAGTACTTTCCTACTTACCTTTTCAGACTTCTCTCTCCGTACAGAACTTTGGCCTTTGGATAGCACAGAGTTATCTTGGCTTGCTCATTTCTCCTTCTGGAAAATCTTCCTAGAAAAGCTCCATTTGTGGTCTTTCCGAGCTCCCCTGCAGACCCTGTCATAGCCCTCATTTCAGTGTAGTATAGCTGCCTGTATATCAGTTTGTCTTCTCCACTGTATTATAATAGGGTCCCAGTCCATTTGCCGTTTTATTCTCTGCCTATCATGGTGACCAGACACAGTACATGCTCATAAATACTTGCTGAGTGAATGACCTTGAACCAGTCACTTAGCTGCTCTAAGCCTCAATTGCATCACTTTTAAAAAGGGAATAATATCTTACCTACATCATAAGGCTGTTTGGGGGTCTTGTAAGATAATAGGAATGAAATTTAACATGGTGGTTAAGAGTGTGGGATCTAGAGCTATACTATCTGGCTTTTAATCCTAGCTCCCACCTTATGTGACCTTGGACAAGTTACCTAACTTCTCTCTGTTTTAGTTTCCTCTTTGGCAATATAAGAATAACCATAGTATCTGCCTCCTGGGGTTTTTATGAGAACTGAGTTAATAAATGGAAAGCACTTAGTACAGTGCCTAAACATGATTAGGGTTAGCTATCAATTATAACATTGTTATTCATAAGCTCTAAAATTATCTATACACACAAATGCATACATCTGTGGATAGATGCACACATGGCACCAATTATTTATTTGAGTGTTCAAGGGGTTGAAGGGCTAGTATCAGTATTCTTTTTTTTTTTTTTTTTTTAGAATAATGTCATAACTATACCATAGTTTGTTTTCCAAGTCTTACATTCAAATTTCCATTCTTGATGTATGTGAAATTT